TGAGTACGACAGCGTGAGAAGACGGAAACAGTTTGATGAGGATAAAGTGGGGTGTGTGATCTGTGGGGATGACGAGAAGATGGGTCGGGAGTGCACTCGGTTGACTATATGCGGTCACATTGCTTGTAAGGATTGTCTGAGAAATGCGCTGTCAGCGCATATAGAGGATGGTGTAACTGCTGGTGCACTACGATGTCTGCATTGCAATGTAGAGATGGAGTTGAATGAGGTGAGTAAATAAGCATGAATACAATTGCTTGAATATTGTTTGTCAAGAGATTTGATATGCCACAAATTTCGGTTTGAGGACAAGTAACTTGTCATTCCACTAGCGTTGCACAACTTTCTGGAGATGAAACTTAGTGTGCTCGCAGCACTAAAACAGGTCGTCACAACTGTTGTCTACACAGTGTGTGTGTGATTTATCCACTCTTTTCAACAACCTCCCTCCTGCTAGTGTTTGTCACGGAATTTCATTTATTAAAAACTCTTTGGCATAAATTTTTGAGATCCACCATTTAAATAATCCCCTTCCCATCGCCTGTAGCAACTGTTAATAATTATTCTCATTCACGCATAGGTGGGAGAGTTCGCAACGCCTTCCCAATTTGAGGCCTACGACCGTCTTTTATTGCAACGTAGCCTCGCTCTTATGAGTGATGTAGTGCGATGTCCACGTCCGGAATGTTCAGGAACGTGTCTTGCAGAGAACGATTACATGGCCCGCTGTCCCATCTGTCGCCACGCTTTCTGCCCTCGATGTCTGGGCCTTTACCATGGCGAGGTACCATGCTCATCTCGTTCTGACGAGGCCAAACTGGGTGATATAGAGGAGGATACGTATTCGAGGCTCGTCCGATATGAAGAAGAAGATGAGATCCCGTTGCCATCAGGTAATGGTCGGTTCTTGGCATCGACAAGTATCAAGAGTGCGTAACTTCTAGCAGGTGTTTAATCGTTTATTGTTACGAGTTGTAGCATGTCACATGATGCATCAACTTAAGGTATTGAATGACAGCCTCCACAATGGTTCATTAAGGAATTAGTTGTTTTAATGATTCCATCCGATTAAACGCAAATTCCTCTTATAATCGTCCATTACTTCACCGAGGGCGCAATAAAGTTGCTTGTCCTCGACTACTGCCTACCTTTCAAATGGGCGTCGATTCTACCGACATCCGCTAACTGTTATTAACAAGCAGGTTTTCAAAGGGAGAAGCTTTGGCACCTTTATTCGTTGTTTTCTTTCTCGTCATGAAGAAGGAATCGAGTGGATGACATGGAGACTGGGTCACACACCAGACTCTAACTATCGTCGGAAACTCATTAAGAAAATCCTTACTCTTCGGAGTAATGCAGTGGGAGAGGCTCTCGTATCTCGCCAGCTCAAGGAGATGAACTTCTACCGCTGCCCCCATTGCGGCGTGTTCACCTGCGTCAGTTGTGACTTTTGCCTTTTTTTCTACCTATTTTTATCAACGGGTTTTGACACCACTTCACGATTAGGCGAACTAGTCATCGGACTCATGTTTTGTGGCATTTCAAAATCAATGTTTAGTTGGTGAATGCTTGCCAGTATCTGGTGATGGCATTAGGTAAGCATTTAAACGAAGAGACCGACCCGAACCATTGGCAAGGGAGGTCCTCAAGTGAAAAAAGTGCAACTATAATCTTGGGTGCCTGATTCCAGAGGAGTATTTAAACGTTGGGGTCTGAGTGAAAGCCACCTAGGTGGATGACGATTAAATCAGTTCAGTTGTTTCGGAACCTACGGAAAGACATTGAGCTATTTCTACGTGCATAGTGTGTATCTGATGTTTCTTGGTCAACACCTCATAGAGGTGGCTGAGACGATAAGGTAGAGAACATTCTTGCAACCCTCCAAAGAACTGAGGTTTTTTCACTCATGCATAGTACTACCTGCTGTTGTGGATGTGGCAATACTGCCTTGAAGGCTGCATGTACAGCTCACGACCCGCCACTATCAGCGGCGCCTTAATACGGGATGAGTTGGAGAGTTTGCGTTGTAGCTCTTAGGAAAGGCTACGAGAGGTGACCTCTGTCCGGTCAGGGCATAGGCACTGATCTGCTCGACTTTGTGATGGGCATTCGGAAATCGAGTGCCAATGCCACACTGAGCACTCCTAAGTATGAACACTCATTGTGGAAGCATTCTGCCTATTCTTGGCTTATTGCAGTATACAAATAGTTCTCATCGACTATAAAACACCAAAATTGAGCTTTTCTTTCCCTAGAAATACATGGGATGCGATTGGGTTCGATGTGCATTCTGCAGAGGTGGTTTTATTTACGGAAAACGAGAATAATGTTGAGTGAGGCAACGTTCTTTATGGAAATATGTTCATGTATATTTCAAAACCCGATTTGCACGTTGAAAAACAATTGAGCGCCATTGATTACGACTGTGTCTTCTTCCTCCAGCACACGAAGGATTGTTCATTGTCACACATATGTGGAGAGGGAGTTGTAGTAAGGAGATCAGGGTCCAACAATAATATAAGTTTCAATGACACCTAGCGACACCACGCCAACCAACTCTGCATGCATTGTGAGAACACGGAGGGGGTAGTGTTAGCAATGAGGGCGACGTGAGGTAGGACTGCGTGTCACTTACTTGAAAGACATCACGCAGGTCTGTGTAGGTGGTGCGTGGGTTCACAAACGTTTTCATCAGGATTATTTTAAAGACAAACTATCGTAAGTGCCCACTGTTGCTACATTGAAACCTCCAATCTGACATCAACGCAACCATGGCTTCCCTCAAAAGCAAAGTTTTTTTTGAGGATTTAAGTGTTATGCCATGGGATCACAGTGTTATGCGTCAAGACACTGGTTTCGACAGAACAAAGTTCCCTTCGCTAAAGCTTTTTTACTTATTTCGTAAAATAACTACACTGTCTTTTACTGAGAGTCACGAGAAGACTATTTAATCTACCGAAGGCTGCCAAATCTCAAAAGTTAAAAGAAGGGCGTTAAGACAGTTCGTCACATAGGGATGACGCTGATATCACTTCAAAGTTTCGATGGCATAAGGGTGCCAAAACACACCAAGATGCCAAGATGCGACGCATTCTTGCACTATCACAAATATTAATGAGGGGCCAAGGTACTGTAACAATGGGATAGTAGATAAAGGGGTGATAGGGAAAAAAGTAGGAGTGCAGTAGTTTGCATCCAAGTTGATAACACTTGACTGAAAGACAGTCACTCATAATCTTATACCTTTTGCATGTTCACGTTGCAAATGCTGCTGCTGCTTGTTATGCCCTCTTGCGGTGGAATATAGACGACTATTCTGTGACTGATCTTTTGGAAGAAAGGATGGGTGTGGGACTCAATAATAGCAGAAAGAGGCCATAAATTCAAGACACAAACTCCCCCTCTCGAGGCTCTGATCTACGAACGCGCCGAAACTGCTGCCGTATCGAGACTGCCAGATGGTGTGGGTGTACAGCCAATTTATAGGCAATGCTGGTGCAAAATAAAAAATCCAACAGACAAAGAAGGTGCTTGAGAAATAATTTCCAATAACGTTCTTGTTTTACTAACCACAAAAGGCCAAAAAACTAGCTGCACTTTTCCGTAGACCACAAGATATCACGTTGACGTGTGTGTACAGGCTCTGCACCATAATGAGGAGAGCGAAATGGCATCACTTGCAAAATGAACGCTGTAACCAACGGAAGTGCTACCGTTTTTCCATCGCTCTCTCCACCCGCATTGTATGACATCTATACATTCAACATTGTGCAATGTCTGCACAAGAACAACTAATAACACTCACCTCCTTGCGCAAAACCGACAACCTCCACTCCAGCATGACTTCCACAACTGCACTACTGTGCGGAAAACACACATCGCACACCCTGACACACCACCACTCCTCCTTCCTCCACCTCCCATTTCGCAATCTCTCACACCAGAAATACCTAGTCCATCTGCTCAAGCACACGCACACACACAAGTTCAATCACCAGTCACTGACTTCAGTAACATTCTCCCGTACTTCGAGTGGCTCCCCACCGAAACTGCCAAATCACCACTACCTCTGTTCCCACATAACATGCCCCATCATGACTGATCACCTGTAGTAGATGGAGGGTAGTAGAGACAACTACACAAATGTCGAAAAGAGTGGCTAGTGCTTTGGTTGGCGTGGTGGAGGCGGAATCGACGCCTACGTCTACAGCACTGAGAGGCCTCCTTCCCCATGCCTTGAATGCGGCAATTCTCTCCCACGATGATGATGGTGGTGACATCGAGTAAAAAGGAAGGCAATTCGGGTGGACAATGTTGGCTGCCTGATGTGTAGGGAGGAGAAGGAGCCGCGGCACAAGTGCACTCGTTCAGCCACATAGGGACGTGTGTCGATGTGCGGGCAGGGTGTGTGTGTCAGGTGCTGTGCTTCTTCCTCCGGGTTAACCCACCACCTGACCACACACAAGTGGTGCAAATGTATGGAGGGGTGGGGTGCACAACTTCCACCACAGGATCGAGATTACAAGCAGTGTGTCAATACACCGAATCCTATTTCCGTACCAAATGGTAGGCAAGATGGAGTGGGTATGCTGAGGTCATTCGCCGTGTTTTTTAGCCACAGCTCGTGTGGCACCTTGGCTGCCCACTGGGACTCCTCACCTGTGCTCCCAATGCGTAGACGAATTGGCGCCTACTCGCAAGTCCGAGTCGCATGCCGTGATGTGCTGATGTGTTAATGATGTCTGCCTGAAGGGTGGTGCTTTTCAGCCAGTTTTCCACGTGGAATGGTGTCGTTATTGGAGATCATTGGAGCACTTGATGATGATAGTAATAATAGCAATACTCTACTGATGCGAAAACGGAGAAACACGAAGCGTCCCAACAAAGGAGCACGTAGATCAAACTGGTTTCAGTTTTGAAACATTTACTGAATATATGGTCGTGCTTAAGACAGTTGAATTAAGCTAGGAAGAACCATACCGTAGACCAACTATTCCTTTCCTTAGAA